TTCTAGATTCTAGAATAATTCTAGAATAGAGAAACTATATTCTATAGTCCTTCTATTCACAGGAGGCCAAGTACATATAACAGCCAATAAACCTAACTAACAGTAACCCTAGCAGCATCTAAAACCCAAACTGTAACTGCGCACACGCTAGCCTCTCATAAACTGAATTTTGAGTTGCATTAAACATGACCTGGTATCAATTTACAATTAGCACTAAATTGAATATTGCATTATTCAAACTTGCATTAATCATGAGTTTACATTCAGGGCCTAATCACCAACCTAGAAATGGAACTAGAAATATGTGATGTTCTCTGTGATTCAAAATAACAAAAGGAATGAATGAAACTATAAAACAGTCAAAACAGTGGCACATTACTATGTGCCACTGAGCGATGCTGTTTTGTGCATTGTTTGCCAAGCTTGCTAGTATTCAGTAAGCTTAGACCTAACTTGGACCTAGAACATATAAAGCTGTCTCTGAGCCTGTGCAAAGTATTATTTTCTTTCAGCTGAGGTACTGTCACTTGGAATTGTGGGGCAAGACTTTCCAACAAGCAGCTTCAAGGCCAGCTGTGATCCGTGCCACCTGGATTTTTAAATGAATATTTTATGCATGTTCTGACAATAGCTGGAGAGTTTCATTCATAAATTAATAAATGTACTGAAATGTGCATTTATGTGCAAATACTTGCTTTGGGAAAGTAGTAAAATGTGTTCAGAAGTTGTCGGCCTTTCTTTAGGGATATCTGTTTTCCAAAATGTGTATATAGACATTGAATCATTGTGAGCTACAGAAAACTAAGTTTGGATTGGAATCGTACACGTCTTTCCTGTTTGTGCTGATTACAGCTTATGTCACAATAAATTAAGCAAGGACAAAACACAGTCCTTCTTTTCTATTCTTGTTTGTGTCTAGGTGGAAAATCCATAAATATTCTCAAGACCTATTGTAGACTTCAATAAGTGATGGTATCATGTAATAAATAGGAGAATATAATGAATAGGTGGTGTATGCCTTGTCTACTAATTTCGGTAGTGAAGCTATGAGAGTCATAATTAACAAAGACGTCCTAGAGTTGCCTTGCTTTGCTTCTGCGTACAGAATGTCACACAGACACTCTGTTTATTCACTCAGTTTATATTCTTTTTTGTACCCCCAGATGATGTTTAACCTCCCTTTAAAAAATGAGGCAATTGCAAAAATAAAAATTATAAATTTCTACATGCTCTGAACATACAGTACATCTAAGTTATGACTTTAATGTCATTAAAAAGTCAACATTTTTAAAAAGCAGAAACAGCATTAAGCAAAAATAGATTTCATATGAGAAGTTGGGACACAATATTAGACTGAAAAATCTGTTGTATAAAGCGCTCCAGGATTTGGCAGAAGCCTCATTCCAGTAGTAGAAGGCAAGAAATGTTACCAGCATTCTTCAAGCGAATCCAAGACAGACGAGTTGCACAGGCATTCAACTGTAGCAAAATGGCTGAAATGGGATAAAGTTGTGGTCAAAACAGGGATGGAGCACAGTTGTACGTTTGTGTGGGTCGAGAGAGCAGAAGGAAGAAGTTAGCGGAGAGCATGAGGGACAGACAGCTCACAGGGATTGCCAGTGAGATGAAGTGAGCCGGTCTACTGATCTGCACATCACTACCCCTGGTTGGTTCAAGTGTGGCAGATGTGGGGATGTAGAGTAACAATAGAAGAGACTATATGTAGCTCAGAGTTGAACTATGGAGTCCTTGGGGTTCTCTGAGCTTGGTTGTTTTCTTGCAAACATTTTGTTACCTGGCTAGGTAACATCTTCAGTGATAGAATGGAGTGGGGTTTGCTCTCTGTTTATAAGATAAGCAGAGATTAACATCAAGTTTAACACCAGGTGAACAATCAAGCAGTAAACAATACCCAAATCAAGGAACTACCAAGGGGGGAAAAAACGCACCCCCAGCAACACTGACAGGGCAAGCTACAGTATATAAACAGAGAGCAAACCCCATCCCATTCGAGCACTGAAAATGTTACCTAGCTGGGTAATGAAATATTTGCAAGAAAACAACCAAGCTCAGAGAACCCCAAGGACTCCATGTAGAGTAACAGTTTGGACTTGAACTAGAGACAGACCAGGACTCCTTTTGCAACCCATAGGACCTTGGTGTCTCTGTTAGAGGGGGAGAAAAAGCCACAAGATGCATCTGCTTATCTGCTACTTCTTCCTGAAGCCAAATGGCTAGGGAAGGAGAGTTTGCAGTGTGTGGGTAGAAGTCTTGGGAATGTGCTTTGTTTTGGCCCAATATGTTTTTTTAGCCAGTCATTAATCAGACTGGGGGGTGATTGTTGCCCCTCTTCTGATCTGGAGAACTCCAGTCTCCTGTTCCCCAATCCCATCTCCATTGGAGTGAGATCAATATATATCACATGTTTTAGTGCCTTCCCTTTCTTTGGGTGCTTATCAAGAATCTTCCCCTTCCTAAGTCTTGAACGTCTATTGAAATTCTGCAGGTATCGGGCAAGAGTGTTAGATAAGTAAAGTGGGTAATGTGTTGAGTGCTTTCTTCTCTTTGCATATGTTATTTTGGCTGTGAGGAAGATAGAAGGGTTTGAACCCCTTCCAGGAAGGATCATTTCTAGAGTGCGGTCTTAGGGGTCAACTATGTAGCGATGCTAGAGCAGTGTTTCTCAACCTTGGCAACTATGCATAACCCTGTGGTTGTGCATACATTGACTTTCTCTGTGCATGACTGTAGGGCGGGAGGGACATAGGACTGTTATTACGTGACTGCTAGGTTATGGCTGAATTTTCAGGCATAGTGTCCACTTGTCTGATTTTTGCATAATTTTTCTATTTTCTACTTCCCTTCCAGGCCAAACATACACTGGCTATGGCAGTTGTTTCACCAGTGTAGCAGAGTCATCTTTCCAGTAAGTATAGGAGTGCTCAAAATGTTGGTCAGTGTTTAAAAGGATTTCATGACTAGGTAGACAATATTTCTTTTGAAACTGGGATTTAGTCTAATATATTACTTGAAAAACATACGAGTGGGTACAAATGGTACTTCTCAGCATTAATTATAAAATTAAAGGATCTAGATTTGCAGCGTTTGTCATATGAAAAGTATGGCTGCACCATGTTTGTGGATTAAACGAATAGATGTTTCTTTTAACTTTTTATGTTGCTGAGTTGAATGGGTCCTCTCAAGTATAATACTTAAAGCATCTCTTGCTTTTATTCAGTGGGTAATTTACAAGTAGGCCTCGATTAGTGCAGTTCATGAATGCCACGAAATGGCTGCATTATTCAAATTTGCACTATTCAACGTGATATTTCTGTAGAACATCAGGTAATTGTTCCCAGCTTGACAGAAATAGGCCATTAAAATTTTTAAACACAAATCTGTATATGTTTATGAATGAAATACTGTACGACAGGAAAAGGGGATAAACTCATATCCAAAGCATACCTACTATCTCCTGTATTCTGCTGTAGTTCTTCAAAATGAGCCTCTTTTTTGAGCTTTCCTCAAATGGAACCTTCCTTTTCTCCATATTGCAAACTTGATGATTAGCGTCTAAAACCCCAGTGGCAACTGCTCATGAGCTAGTCTCAACTGTGTGCACGTTAGCCTCACACTAACTAAATTTTGGCTCACATTAAACATGACCTGGTATCAATTTATAATTTGCACTAAATGGAATATCCCACTATTCGAACTCGTGCTAATCGCAACCTACCTGTATAGCATTTGTTAATTTCTCATTAATTTCTCATACACCATTTTCACATGTGGAACTAAATTACCCGTTCAGCCCTTCTCATGCAAAATATGCTAATCTTGGGTCAGCAAGAAGAGAACAGCAGAAGATAGATTTATAATGCAAATAAGCATTCTGGCCAATGTAGGGCTTATTCTCAGACCAAAAATTGAGGCATTAGCTAGCTGCTTTTCAGAGCTATTGCCCCACAAAGCAGAATACAAGTTAGAGCATGGTTAGAAAAAGACCAGAAAGACAGAATATGCTATGAACCTATTGGATCACGTGAGTTATTTCTGAAGGCAGAATATCATTCCCTTATGCATGAGAACCTAATAGATCTTAATGGAGATCTTATTATCACTTTGAATTATCATTTCTGTTCTGTTCTCTTACCCCCACCCAAAGGAAATACAGGGAATTGAGTGTTTCTGACTTGGGATATAAAATATATCCCACTCAGAAGTAAATTCTAAATCCACGTTCAAAGGCAGCCTGCAGTGGAATGAATTGAGTTGGAAGAATAAGAGGCCTGCCTGGGGATTTCTGATTGGTGATAGTGGGTGAGAAGATCCTGGCCTGTCAGCCAGACCACTTCTCTAGTTCTCTTTATGTAAGCAGGTCCTTGGAAGCAAGTTGCCAGAATTAAAGACATAAGCTTTCTGTGTGAACCCCAATGTCTCAAAAAGTACAGCGTGGTTGCAATGTTGGTTTAAGTATCAAGGAGAACAGACACTCAAAGATGCCATTCATTCATTCCTCTTCACTTTAGCCTAGGTACCAAGGGTTCTCATTGTTGCATCTGTAATCGTCTTCCTATATATATCTCCTTGATTATGAACAAATAACAGAAACCAAACTTGACTTTCAAACCATTCCTTTATTGAAAAGTTGCTGTACGTGGAAGCTTCTGTTCTCTGAAACAAGTGTCCAGCACTTGGGCAGATTTTCACAGAGTATGGTGAAACCATTTGCACCAGCACTGGGAACATCTTGGACAGGAAAATGAGGCATCTGAAGTATATCTTTCAGTGGGACTGTTTATATATGGTGACCAAGTTTTCCCCTCTTGAAATGAACCACCAATGTGTGGAAGGTAGTTCTTCTTCAGATGCAATTGGTTTATTCTATTCCATGCCTGGATATTTGCTCCCTGGTTACTCTGCAAAGGCGGATTTGTTCCGTATGGTTTTCTTTTATCTGATAAAGCTTTTTGGCCACACAGTAATTCAGCTGTCCCACCAAATGGAAATCTGTTTGCATTTTCTGCTGGACCAAGCCAGACAGTAGCTGGTACTTTCCACGTGTAAGGTGGCCTGTTGTTCTCCACAGCTCTCTCTTTGGCCTCAGGGGCTGCTTTTCTCACTCTCCCATCAGACCATCCACTTTTTCGGACATTTATCTTGCTCTTCCCAGCCTGCGGTTCCCCTTTTTGGACATTCACATTGTTCCTTATAGCATGTAAATCATTTTGCTGGATGTTCACCTTGCTCTTCCCTGCATGCAACTTGCTTCTGCTAGTCTGAACTTCTTTCTTTTGAGGAGATCTTGCCTTACCAACTTTCAGCTCATTCTTTTGTGATTGCACATCTGCCTTCCCATCCCGTGCACCCTTTTGGGGGGACAATGAAACAGTATTCTTTCTAGCATATCTCTTGTATCCGGGACCTAAATCAGGTTGGTCAAGTCTTTTTTGCTGTCCAGTTCTGGCATCCAGCTCCTCTTTGGGGTAAGACCTGCTCTTCCGTGCTGGAGGCTTCTTAATTTGCATTTCATGCTTTCCAGGAAGACCATCAGTCTTCCCTTTCTGAAGCTTTTTCTTGCTGTGAAGCTCAGATTTCCCATTCTGCTCTTTTTTCTTAATGGTATGTCTCTTTCTCTCCCCACTATATGGTTCAGTTTCTAACTTTGGTAGCTTGGGGTTCCCCATTTGGATCTCTAGGATTTCATCCTGTTTAATTTTTTCTTTGTACGGCCTACTCTTTCCTGTCTGAGCCTTTCTCTTCCCATTGCAATTCTCACTTTTCTCACTAAAAGGTTCTTGACTGGGCTTCCTGTTTTTAGCATGCAGCTCACTTTTCACAGCAGACCCTGTTTTCATCTCAGTCTGTAACCCATTTCTTCCCTCCTGCCTCCTGAGATAATTTCTCGCCTGAAAATCTGCTTCTTTGGTAGATAATTTATTTTGTTTTGTCTTGTTATTCTTTGGGTGGGACTTCTCCTGCACACAGGGAAGGGACTTGCTAGGGTCTGAATTGTTAAACTCAGATTCTGAGTCTGAACTCAGTTCACTGGACTCAGAAAACTCGCTAATTTCAGGACTGGGCTCAGAACTTGATTCACTGGGTGACACTCCAGATTTAAGACTGAGATTATCCTCCAAGTGCGATGACTCATCGGTAGAAACAAAGGTTGAGTCATCGTATTCAGAACAGGAGCCACTGTCATTGTCTGAAGTGGACTCAACTCTATAAATGCTCTGTTTATCCAATTTTGTGTGGGATTCCTCTTCTCTTGGGCTACTATTCTTGGGTTTCTCATGAGCAGACAGCACACCTGGAAGAAACTAGGTTTTTAATCTAATTAAAGGACAAATTGATCAGCAACCCAGAACATTCAACAAGTCCAGCCATCCAAGCACAAATATTTGTGGTGTTCTTCCTGGCCATTTCTGGCTGCCTACTCATATACCTCTGAAAGAACTCCAAACCTGAAGGGCTAAGTGGAAAAGTGTACTATTGCACAAGGACATTAGGATCTCTGAAAGGATTTCATTTATTATTTTTAACTTACTCTGGAGGCTCAGTGAGGGAAACAGAGCTAGATAAATATACACTGCTTATAATATCACAATTTCTTCCTGTTGCTACTGCTGGCTTTTAAAAACAAAACCAAAAGACCTCATAAAAATATTCAGTGTCAAGATAACTTTAAGGATCCAGAAGGAGGGTTTACAAATTGGACGATCAGGAAGGACATTCTGTGTATTCAACATCATTAGACAGAGCACACAGTCAAGAAGATCATCACAATTACAACACAGAAAGTACAGTTTATGAACTGTTTAGAATACATGGATTGCAATCAATGTGGTGCAGAAGAGAAAATAGGCACTGCTCTAGTCAAACTGAGTAACAACCTGATATGCTCAAAATATCAACATACCACTTTGTGTTCTTACCAGTCTTTCTTGTCTGCCAGGTCATTTGGAAGCAAATCACATTTGTATTTTAATTGTTTTGCTTCTGGCTTGATGATCCAGGACTATACAGTCTAGCTATGCTTAAAATCCCCATGGGAGTAAGACAAGGCTGGATCCAAGCATGAGAGCTACTTTGCCATTTCAGTTCTTCTGCTTCTGGGCCAAAATGCCTGCTATGAAGATAAACTCTCAGACACTGACCTGCATCTCCCTGGTAATATTTAGTAAAAAAGGATGGATAGTGTGTATTGTTATTGCATTCTTCAACATCCCTAAGAGAAGACAACAAACCGGAGTGGGGATTGGGAAGCTGACCAGAATTACACCATTCATGTCTTCTTTAACTAAATATCATTACACCATGTTGTGATGAGGAAACACATGGCTTTGGTGGCCATTTGTAAGTATCCCCTGAACCTCAGGTGTGACTTTATAAATCAGGAAAAGTGCCACAGAGGCACTTATGAGTGTAGTGTTCCTGCATCTGGACTTGTGTAACAGGCAGCTAAGTTGCTAAATTACTCACCAGTTTCATTCTGTTTATCACTGAGGGAGCAGGGAAGGTTATGCTTGTTCTCTGAAAGACAAAATATACCCTGAAGTTATCTGATACAAAAATTGTGTGGTCAATAGAATCATTCAGGATTCTGGACAATACCATGTGTTTATACAAAGAAACAGTAATGATTTAACTGTTCAAACACTTTGATGCCACAAAGTTTATTAATAGAATATCAAATGCATCTCAACATCCATTAGGAACAGCATTGCTACAAAAATACAGGGACCATTACGCATATGTTTATAGTGGGAATTTTGCTGCAGAAATTGATCGTAAGCCTCAGGCTAGTATTTAAGGAACACACCTTTCACAGATGTACTTCCATGCTTACAAAGACTATTTTTTCCATTGCAAATCTGTGACTCTCTCTGGCAGCAAGTTAGTCCTAGGTGATATTCTGTCCTAGTCATTCTTTAGAGGGAGGGATGATTCTGACCAAGAGATAAATCAGACTCATGTTAATGAACTGAATAGATTAATTCCAGCTTCTGATCAATTGTTGGAGCAAATAGCTCAACAAAGCTGACAAGATTTTGCAGGATATCATGGGGTTACTAAAAGGCAACTTGATTTGAGAATAGCAGAAAGTCCATACAATAGTTTTATATGTTTATAATAGAAACAATTTTATAAGGGACTGTTGGTGTTGGAAAGAGAGATGATCAAATCTAAATCTGGCTCATCTATAAAGAATGTTTTTTGAGCTTTCAGTTTAATGTTGCAATAGATTTATTTGAATATGAGAGGCAACAATATTTACTAGTTTTAGATTTTTTTTCAACAACCAGAAATGTGTGAGATACACTGAATACTAGATTTGTTATTCATAGAATAAAAATAGTTGTTATGCCATGCATGGCATTCTAATACTTAAATAGATCTCAGATTGATTACCAGAAGTACAAGCAATTTGAATCATTTATAAATTTAAGCATAAATTTTACTCATAAAATTGGAAGAGGCCTTTTAAACCATCAAGTCTAGCTCCCTGATCATTGCGGAAATCCAGATTAAAGTACCCCAAACAGCTAGCCCCTTATTGAACACACCCAGCGATTGGGAGCCCATCAGTTTTCAAGGTAATTGGCTTCACTATCAAACTGCACTGTGAGAATTTTTTCTGTGATTCAACTGGTATTTGCCCTCCTGTAATTTAAATTAATTATCCCACGCTCTGCATTCTATAATGTTAGAAAAAGGTCTAGACCTTCTTCTGTGTGACAGCCTTTCAGATAATTGAAAGGTGCTATCATATCATCCTTATCTCCAATCTTCCCAAGACTAAATATTCGTAGTATTTTCAAACTCTCTTTAATTTCTAGGCCCCTCATCCTCCCCATTGCTCTTTTCTGAGCTTGTTTGTCTGGATCCATGTAGGGTGTCCAGAACTGAGCACAATACTCAAGATGAGGTCTGACCAATGCAGAATAAACTAGAGTGATTATTTTTTAAAATGTAAGCATTATATTTGTTAAGGTTGCCTAGAATTGTCTCCATGAGTAAGGTAGCATATAAGTCGATTAAATACTTTTTTTTTTTTGTAACCATGTCAACTGCTGACTCATATTCACAACCTAACTACTATTTCAAGACTTTTCCCCCAAAAATTACCAAGCCTGGTATCCCCCCATCCTGTACCTGTACATGTTAGGTTTGTCTCCTAAGAGAAGAACTCTGCATTTGTCTCTGCTAAATTTCATTCTGTTACAGTACTTTCAGTCCATTTTCTAACCTATCAAAGTAGGTTTGAATTTTATTTCTACTTTCAAGGAGATTAGTGAAATAATAATAATAATAATAATAATAATAATAATAATAATAATAATAATAATAATATTATATGCTGCCTGACTCCCAACAACCCATCTAAGTTTGTGTCATCTGCAACCTTAATATTTTTTCTACCTCCTCACCAATCATTATTAAAATTATAGAAAAGTAGAAAACTCAAGACTGAATTTTATGGCATCCAACTTAATATCTGCCTCCAGTTTGATGAGAAGCACTCTTTAAATAAGTTTTTCAAAGCAGCAATTCATGTACTTCATTGTCATGCCATCCAACCCACATTTAACAGGCTTGCTAATTAACAGGTCATGAGGTACTCTGTCAAATGTTTTGCTGAAGTCAAGATATATAACATTGACAGCATTCCCACAATCTATTATGGAAGTTATCCTCTCAAAAAAATTATCCTGGCAAGACTTGTTCTTCATAAATCCATTCTGACCTCTGACTTCTGGTAGTTAAAAACATGAAAACAATATTTATGAACTTTCTTTAAGATTTTCTCTGGATATCAGTGTCAAACTCACTGGCCTGTAATTCCTTGCATCCTCCTTTTTCCTCTTTTTGGAAAAAAGGAGCATTTGCTGTTCTCCATTTATCTGGCACTCCACTAGTTCCCCAGGATTTCTCAAAGATAATACATAAGCACTGGCTAGACCATCAGCATGTTATATCAAGTCCAGGATAGCTGCAGGCAAATAGGTATTAAAATTATTAAACTTATATTGCAGAATACTAAAGAAACAAACATTTTTATTTCTTTAGAATTAATGACTTGCAGGTCAGCATTTTTAGAGTAAGGTAACCCTTTGCAAAGTTGTTTTTCAACAGAACATTTTGTGTAAGATTATCAATTATTACTAATGTCACGTGTCAGGTTCAAATGAACAAGGAAAAACAAAGTGGCATGAAAGAAGAAAATATATTATGACAAAGCAGCAAAACTGCTACCATAATTGAATGTCAGTGATAATGTATAAAAGCAAATGCTGGCATAATGAAACAACAATAACTCCACATTCTTGAATTAAGGATGATAATGGAGCTTTGTGCAGAAGAAACTGAAAGGAGATGAAATTGATAAAATCTACAGCATATTCAAAGAGACCACATAATTCTTCAGCAGCACCGATGTCAAATACGGAGACTATTAGTGAAGAACCACACGTTGTGTTGGTTAAACAAAATACTAGTTAAGGAAGTCTACATATAAAACATATGGCATGGGACCAGGTTACCTAAGGGACCGCCTCTCCCCTATGACTTCAACCCGTCCCACCCGGTCGCACAGAGAGGGCATGCTTCGGACCCCCTCAGTAAAGGAACTCCATCTAGCGGGGTCATGAAGGCGGGCCTTCTCTGCAGTAGCCCCCGCTC